CGCTCAGTAGTGGGATCGCGCCTGTGAATAGACGCTGTAGTGCAGCCTGAGTAATACAGCGGGACCCAGTCTTTTTACGCTCTTTCTCCTCATATATACTCACACATCACGTTTTTACAGCTTGTAACACCTTCTTTTTTTGTCATCACCATGTGAGCCAGCATGTGAGTATTGATGTTTGTTGGTCCATCACCGCCTCCATCTGGATCACAGGAGAAAAATAAAAGAAACAACGTTTCAACAAGTTTCTTCTTTCTCCACTGCAGAGTACCTCTGTCAGCATTTTTCTCTTTCTTTCTGCTGGTCTATATTTATTCGAGCACAGTGGTAAAAGGATTTAAAATACCACACCTCATAGGGAAATATAGCACATTTTTACAAATAGAACAGAATAGGAAAATCCTTTAATTGTCCCACAAGGGGAAATTTGGTTGTAACAGCAGCAAAAAACACCGTCTGGTTGTTGAGTTTCTTTGAGTTTGTTTTCACCCTCAAATGAGCTGACTGCTTTTGCTCTACAAAAAAACACACAATATTTTTTTTTTTACAGAAACACATATTTACATCATGGACAATATACAAAAACAGAGTACTGTACAGTTATTAAGATTGAAGTACAGATGAAAGTGGAAAACCCAGGTTTTATTGTGCAAACAGAGCAGGGTACTGGAAGATGTTTAAATAATTAAGAATATTTACAAAATGTACAGATTGTGCATTGTACCTGTGCATCAAAAGGTAAATGTAACTTCCAATATGTCAGTATATATAAACTGAGAAAAATAATGTGCAAGTTATAACAGTAGTAGTTGTTCAGTTGATTAGTGCAAATTACAGCGCTGATGTAAACACCTATGTGTGTTGGGAGCAAACCTTATGTACATAAGATTTTAATTTTTATCTTTTATGTTTGTTTAAGTGTAAGTCTGAGGTCCGTGGGAGCACTGGATTTTCAAATGCCCGTGTATGTTTTGTACATTTGGTTTTTGAGTTTGATGGTTCCTTCTTCCCTTGTAATTGCACGGAAATGTAAACTAAATAACTACAATAACAGGTGCTATCTTAAAGTGTTGTTTTTTTGTTGCTGTTTTTTTTACTTAACAAAAATGAAACTACGTTTTTCTATAATAAAGTATACAGCGGTGTTTACCACCTGTAGAGCGTGCCTCCCACTGCTGAATCTGATTGGTCGGATCAGCTGCGCTTCTGCTCATTGGCCCGCGCACCCGTCACTCAGGCGGTTGTAGTGCGGTCATTTCAGTCCGGTTTATAGCAGAGTCAGGTCATTCACTGTACTTGAAAAAGGCACTATAATGGCGGGACGTCTTCTTCTCCGAGCTTGTACAACAACACTGCAGCTGAGGAGCGGCGTGCTGGCCCCGCTGCACCGTTCAATGGCCACAGTGAGAGGTAGGACTCCGTATTTACGACAGGAGACGTGACTTCACAGGCCTCCGGAGTGCGTTACAGCCACAGCTGTCACAGCTCACTCGACTTAGTGCGAAAAGCGAAAGGCTGGTTATATTGGCAATTTTAGCGGCGTCTTTATTGTTTAGTTTGGTAGCTGACAAGTTAGTAACAAGGAGTTTGCAGTACGTGCTAGCTAGCTACCGCCAGTGTTTTATTTACAGCAAAAAGAAACACCTGTGTACATATTTATTTACAGAAGTAAAACATATTTGTGGGAGGCCTAAGTGCTTTGAGATACACAAAGCCCCTACCTAAATACGACTATAAAGTACATCTTAAAAAAAAATGAAGGTCATTTGGACTTTAGCGAGTGGAAAGGCCTTTGATAGACCCACCTCCTTTGGCAGACTCCGTTGGGCAGGTGCCAGCACCCTGATAGGGGACAGGAGTGTGTTATTGTGGGAGGCGTCCAATGCTGACGTGCAGGCTTGCCCGCACTCATTACAGAGTTTATTATAGTTCTGTATTTTCTAATGAGTTATAATTTTTATTTCGTTTTGAGCTTTTCTTTTTTAGTTTAGTTTTTGTTCTTAGAAGACGTTTAGTGTTGGTTTCTGTGTTAGTTTGTCTTTTTAGTTATTAGTGTGCGGAGGCCATATGCAAGAGGTAAGATTTAAGCAAGTTATTATAGGCTTTTAATATAAAACTGATTTTTTTAAGCAGCTGAATCAAATACAGATTTTTTTGTTTATTATTTGTATATATTATTATCATTTATTCATTTTTTAATAGAAACCTTTTTGCTATTTAATTTTTCAGGCATACCAACAGATGAAGAACAGGCCACTGGGCTGGAGCGCCGTACCCTCCAGGCCCTCAAACAGGGAAAGGTAGGCTACTGTATACATATGATAATGAACCTGAACTGCACATAAGCTAATTTTTTTCTTTTTCCCCATTTACATCACAGGACCCTTACAGCATCCTGAAACCAAAGCACTATGCTGGTACCAAAGAAGACCCTCACATTGTGCCAGGCATTGGAACCAAGAGGCTGGTGGGATGTCTCTGTAAGTGATGCATAATGAATACAATTTCCCCTTTATGAATCTGTTTTACCAGTGTTAACAACTTTTTCTTTTTTAATTATAACTTTTTAAAAATCTTTGCAGGTGAGGAAGACAACACTGCTATTGTGTGGTTCTGGCTTCATGAGGGAGAGGCCCAGCGCTGTCCTTCCTGTGGTTCCCACTATAAGCTTGTCCATCACGAGTTGCCCCACTGATACCAAAACTAACACACAAAGCCCCCAAATTGGGCAACAACAGACAAGTGTATTTGCCTCCTTTAAGGCCATATTCTGCAGTGTGTGCACATCATTCAACTTGTACAGTTTATGATTAAATTGTGACTTGAAGTGGAATGTGTTGATGGGTATTTTCATGAGAACAGACACAGTTAAAATATTAAAGGTTAATTTACTATATAAGCTGGACTTTAAAGGGGACCTAGTATTCTGATTTCCAACATATTTTAATTCATCACAGCAGCTTTGTACTGTCAATTAAAAATCATTATTTTTCCTTAATGCAGGCCCTCAGATTTCGTCTCTCTGACTTTAAGGTAACTTTATTTCTGATTGGCTGCCCCTCAAAGGTTTCTATTGCGCTTTCGACTACATTTCTGACACCTCAACAGTTGCCCTTGAAGAAATGTGTCATTGTGTCAACAATTAGCCAATCATAGGGAAAAATCACCTTCTTTGGAAGAATGAAGTGATGATATTGTAAATGTGAAATCTAAAAAAATCGCCATTATTTACCGTCTAGATTTTGGCGTAAATAATTACTTTGGCTGTCTTTACCGCTTTCATGAGCCCCTCCACTTGCAGGATGTGAATAGGAAATGGCTGTGTGCCCGAGATGACATCTGCCCTTTGTAACTTCATACAAACCCAAGAGTAGGAAGACGCTGATGCCTGAGCACACGGATTACACATACCTATACTTACCACCTCCTCTGAAACTCTGGTCAGGTGTCATAAGAACATCCATCATCAGAACATATTTGAAAGAAAATAACAAAAAGCAGAATTAACCCCTTTTAAAAACAAAATGTGGTATATTTTTTGTTAAAAAATACCTTCTACAGCAATATTCAAACACAAGGTACTATATTAAAAATAAACCTTACCAGCAAGTAACCCATTTATTTCAGTGGCTGTACTTTGTTTTTATTTGTGGATTGTCAAGGCAAACAGCCAAGAAAATCCACTCAGCATCTATTGCAAACACTTCGCATTGCTCTCGAGCAAATGTCACAAGAGAACCTTTGTCAAACAAAGTAGATTTACATTGGCTAACAATTTTTGCAACAGGGGATGAAAAAACCCAAACTCCTGTAAAATACGGTGTCACTTTGATGACAAAGCCATGCAGAAAATACTGCTAGAGTGTAGTTTAAAAAATATGTTTCTGTTGACACCTTGTCAGATGTGAATCAGGTCTTATTTTTCTCTATATTTTTGGGGGGGGGTGGAATTACGTGGTATTTTGTGGTGTTTGACTACATTTTAAACCAGTAAAAACATAATAGAAGCATCTCACTGTCACAATAAATTAGGTGTTAAGCATTAGAAAAATTTCACTGTATTTTACAGGAGTTTGCCAGTTTATTTATGCCCCTGTGCTGTATATACCAGTAGTTTGCTTCGTCCTATCCAAACATGAATAAAAGCATATCTACATGAGCAATATTAAATGTGAATCAACTTGTGTGGGATTGGGCTTCAAATACTTTGATGGCAAGAAAGCAGCTGGAAAAAAAAAAAAATCAACATTAACATGAAAGTCCAGCCGTTCATCTCAGTCACCTTTAGTGTCATGTGGCCTCCTTTTTAATTTTTATTTTTTTCAACTTGTGTTTGACTCATCCAGACTGAGAAGTCTGCAAAAAACCATCTGGGAATGTGGTTGCCATCAACAGTCTCAACATGGATTTTTATGTTCTATCAGGCAAGATTGAAGCCTTGATTGTGATCTATAGCCTGTAGCAGCTTCTCACGGAGCATTTCTAGACTCGTGTACTTGGGCAGGTCCAGCAGGTTGAAGCAGGTGTGGGCGACAGGTAAGTAATGCTCCCCTCCACCAGTAGGCTGGATCACCAGTTTCAAGCTTTTCATGCCCAAGATGGGGATGCGGTCACTTCCAGTGAGGAACACTGTAAAGACAAGATTTTTGTTTCTCTTCATTCTTCAAGGTCCGTATGTAACATGCAAACTCACACAAAATTAATGAAATTAACTTTTCTGCTGTTTAGGGCAACACTTACAGAGAAACTGTTTTTTCTTCTCCAATGGAAGATTGTGAAACACCTCCCAGAAAAGCCTGATTGTAGGGTGGTCTGTCCAGTACTCCCCTTTGTACTCAGTAGTCTATGAGCAAAAGAGCATAAACAAAAATAATTTTCATAATCCATCTTATAATGTACAAGGCTCACTTTAAAAAGTGAGATTCACAGTGGCCACTGGGGCTTTTAAATGATGTATTGACTGAGAAACCAAGGATACTGCACACTCTTACATCAGCAACCTGCCAATCACACCATACCGGCAAATGTTTCCTTAATTCACAAAATGAAGATTATACTGTATTAGATGGAATGTTAAACTAGCATACAAGACCATAAACTAAATTCGTAAAATGTTTACTGAGGTAATAAATCAAGTGAGACATAAGGAAATTTCAATACAGCTAGAGGAGTCGCCCCCTGCTGGACACTAGGAAGAATACATCTTTCATAGTCCTAAAGGATATGCAGATATTTTCTTCACATTGCGTGGCCAGATGCAATTTTTACTAATCACTATTTAATACAAAACCTTTTCAAGCTCCATCCAGTCATAGTTGGTATTGCCGATAACCATGGCTTGCAGTTCGTTTGGCTGGAACAGTTCTAAAACTTTCCCACCGCACACTTTGTGGAAGCCTGAATAGAAGCACTCGAAGAGTGGAGCTACCGATGTGTTGAAAACATAGTCTACATAGGCACTGACGAAATCTTGCCTAGAGGAGAAGAAAGTAAGCAAAATGAGAGTAACGTGAATGTTTCAACAACAGTCCAAAATATTCATGAATCCCTTAGTGGATAACTGCTAATGGATAAATATCAGGACAACTTTAAAAAAAAAAAAAAAATCTTTACCTGTTTGACATATTGACGTTAATGTTTTCCCCATTTGGTACAAGCTCCAAAACCTCTGTGGCACCGTAGTTTTCCTCTGTGATCTGAAAAAATAAAAAATAAAAATCATATGATAGGTGGATGACACAACTTACTTAAACCACAGCAGAAAATGTTGATAGTCAATCATCTTACTGTGAAATTCAAGCAGAAGGTTTCCTCAAGGTCATCTTCTGTGTAGTCTAGTAGCTGCTGCAGACTCCTGGATGAACAGGAACACAATTCCCTGTGTGATTACTGTGGCATTGAAAGGTTTAGATGACGTTAAGACAATGCCAAGGTAAACTACCATTCATAAACATATTAAATGGAAACCTCAGGTGACTGTTCCTTGATCTGACCTTCCCACATCTGGCATTAGCTCTTTCAGGTCTTCTAGCGTTGGCTTCTTCTTCAGAAGTTTCTTGTAAAGGGCCAAGGGGAAGTTGAGCTCAACGATGGTGAGATTGTAGATGGCCAGACCGCAGATGACCCCGATGAGGTTGAACAAGTCAATGTCCTCAAATGTCTGCAAGGGACAGTCGGTGATTGTCAGCATTTAATCGAGGAAGGTTTTCACAAAGATCACGCGGAGATGCCGCCTGGTTTAAAGCAAGTACCTTGTTTGAAAACCAGATGAGGCGAGACTCCTCGTAGTAACGAAACATTCCGTATTTGGGATCAAGCAGCTCTTTCATGATCAGAAGGAAGAACTCCTTTCTCACGCCGCCTGCATCGACAGCCTCTTCTCCCACAAAGATCACCTGCCACAAACATCACAAGTAAGTCACAGTACCGTTTGAACCTGGCATACTCTGTGGGTTCATTACCATGAGCAGCATCTTTCACATTCATATATGTATTTTCATTCATAACTAGGAACTTCATCCTAAGTGTACTTGATTTAAATTTGGCTGTTAGCTTGTTCAGTTGTCTTCGTTGTCAAGACCACGGCTCCTGCGATACTTAGCGATCGCTACCTGGAAATCCTGTTCCAACCACTTGCACCACTCTGTGTGCTCGCTGGATCACCACTTCTGTGTCGAAATTATGAGGAGTTGAGACAGAATCTACAGTTTTGAACCTTAAGAACGGATTTACAATTCGCAACACTGTAAAAAAGGCCTAGCATGCTTTAAGTCAAGCTTGTGACCTAATGTTGATGCTACGTTTGGACGTTGTGGACTCATAAACCTGAAGAGTGCCTTTTTTACACTCTCTAGCTCTTAGCTGTATGATGTTTCTTCCCTGAGTTAGTGGTGTCGTTGTAGACTGCAAGGAGGTCCATGTTGAAATCACACACGCACATGTGCATGTTGTCAGAACGGGACTTCCTGGAAACAATCCAATAATAGCACAAGTACTGGAAGCGATCCAGAGTTTACAAGAACATGACTGGAATGGAAATGGTGACCAAATTTAAATCAGGTTTGGGTTATGCTGCTTCTTTTTTTTTAAAGCTTCAAACTTAAATGCTGTTTCTACCTTTAGTGGCTTCTTATAGTCAACATTCTTAGACTTCCGGAGCACTTCCATAGTGTCTCCAACAATGTTTTCCCTGCGAACGATGAGGATGAGGCACGGGTTGACGGATTCCACAGCCGGTAGGAACATGGAGCTGAAATTTTGCATCTGTGCCTGGTCCACTGCCATCTGTTAATACAGAAAACACATGATTATGAAGCGATTAGTGAGAATAAAGGTAAGAAACTGCCTTTAAGAGGTTTAGTGAGTAGTACCTGCATTTGTAAGACAGCATCTGTCTGAAGGAGTGTAGTCTTTGCTTGGGCATCAAATACAAAGGGATACTTGCACAGAGTCACCACACCATCATGTCCCTGGGGATAGAGCATAAACAAAAGGTTCACATCAAAACCTTAACATAGAAAGAAGTATTACTGAATCGCAGAGCCAACATCCACAGCAGACTCACCATTGGGTACATCTGCCTCTGAAGCCATGTGACATAGTCATTTCGGATGTCTACCAGGTTGTCCAACTCATGAATGTAGAACTTGCCATACTGAATGATGTGTCCCGCTTTCTCGCTCACCTGAAGCGAGAAGTGGGAGAGACTGCCACTTGTAGTCCTTTAAAGAAGGATATAATGTGCAGCAGGAATT